CGCCGCGGGCGGCTACAGGACGTTGAGGTCCCCTCCGTACCTGTAGCAACCCAAGCCGTTTGAGTCCCAACCCTCCGCCTTCAGTGGCAGGATCCCAGGGGATGTCAGGGATACTGCGTAGCCCTTCCTGGTGGAGGCGCGCGCGATTCCGTGACTCTCCTTTTACGCGCCAATGTACCCTCACCGAAGGTGCATAGGAGTGAATCCGAGTGAAACTAGTGATCTGTAAGGGTCCGCCCGCAGGCGCATATTTGGCCTGTCCGAGGGTTTCCTCTCGCACCCTACCTGGTTTCCTTTCCGTGTTTCCTGCTCGTTTCCCTACAACACCCTCTAGTTTCCTCGGGAAACCCCGGGGAAACTCCGTGGAATTCGTCATTTTGGGGGGGCTCTGAGCCGTGTCTGAGGCTGTTTTGGGGCCAAAATCGGCAAAATACCGGGTATTTTGCGGGTATACCTGGAAAACCCCGGTATACCTGGAAAATACCTGGGTATCGTGCCGATTTCCTCAATTTTGCCCCAGATTTTGCCCCAGACCAGCTCTCAGACTCAGGGAAACTCGCGAGTTTCCCGAGGGGAAACTCGAGAGAAACAGAATGGAGCACCAAACACCCTCTGGTTTCCCTGGAAACTTCCGGAAACGCAAAGTGCTGGGGACCCTCTGGTTTCCCTCTGGGTTGCCGGAAACCCTCGGACAGGCCAAGGCGCATTTTGTATACCGAGGCGGTGCCCGGTGCCGAGCGCAGGCAGAGCCCACAGGTCGGACCTTAAAGACAGCGTTGTAGATCCCTGGGCGAGGGTTGTGGAGAGGGGAATGTACGTAAGAGCCACATACATTGAAAAAAAAGAGTAGTGTACCTGTGTTAGTGCCAGTCCGCGCCAGTCCCGTGCCCAGTGTCGTGCGAAAAAGAATTCAACGCGGCGACAAAGGCGCGGAGCAGGGAAGACCCGGGGACGGGGGAGTCAGAGCAGACGGCATCGGCCGCCGAGCGAGGGAACGTTGGGAGAGAGAGATTGTGTTTGTGTTTGTAACGTTGGGAAGAGGCACGAGGAGGGCGGCGACCTCAACCGGCTATTGGAGGACCAACCAGTCGCCAGACAACGCAGGGCAGACGAGAGACGACGGGGGGGAGTTGGCAGGCGGCGAGACGAGGGAAGGAGAGCAGGACTTTGCGGAGATCAGCACAGGAGGATGTACGAATCGAGTACGAAAGAGATTAGGAGCAGCAGGGACCCGAGGGACCATGTGGAAGACGGCTAGTGCTAGTCCCCCCCATCGTGAAGGGGACGACCCCGGCTAGTCGCCGACGCCACACCCGCACAAACGAGAAAGCACCCTGCACAAAGATCGCACGGGCGGGGACCTGTTCCTTTTTACCCATCTCACAGTAGAGGTGTCCGTTTTATTTATTTATTTTAGGCGCGGACTGGCACGTGCTGTTAGAAATTTACGAACAAATGGTTGGGTAGTAGGGCTAGAGGGTCGCTCTACACTTAGCCTCTGCAGCGAGCGAGCGCTCAACTTAGCCCCCACACGGAGCCGGGCTCGGACTTAGACGCTGTATGGTCGGGGGCCACGAACTTAGACGACATAAGGCCAACTCCGGGCAAAACCCGGGTATACCTGAAAAGCCTCCAGGTTTACCCGAAAAATACCTGGACGCGTCCCGACCAACGTATGCCGCGCACGACGCCATATCGCCTTGTCCCAGGGCCAAGGGTGCGCTACTCACGGCGCGCAACGCCTGCTCAAGTACGCGCACCGTACCATGTGCTGCCGCTATGCGTGCCTTAAGGCGGCTGCGGCGAAGCGGCGGGCGCGGCATGCCGATGGTGCGGACGATGCGGTTGCGATGTGTTCTGCTTCAAGATCGTGGCGGTGCTTGGCATGCACTTCTGCGATCCCAATCAGCTCATCGCAACGAAGCAGCGCAACAAGCTGGCTGCTGCCAACAAGGCCCTATGCTACCTCACGCGCGGATCGTTCAAAGAGGACCAGCACACACAGGCTTCACCGTCACGCGTTTGATTAAGCTTGAGGAGCTTCGTGTCATGTGAGAACTGTTTGGCTAGACGTCGCTCAAGAATGAAGGAGCAGCAACGAAAATCGGAAGAGGAGGATGCTGAGGCGGCGATTGCTAAGCATGAAGAGGATCCATCGCCCTCCGCAGGCGAAGAAAATTTGGGGGCTGCGCCGTATCGTTGATCACGGTGGGAGCCTCCTGGCCCCAGGCCGTGCCACGGCCGACTTAGCCGATGTAAGAGGCTCCCGCTGATCTTAGACCGCGCAAGCACTCCAGCGTGGCTAGCCACACTTAGACCCGTCCAGCCTCGAGGCTCAGAACTTAGACTACTACCCAACCAGTTACGAACATTTTAACCTACGCGCTACGTCACCCTCCAACCCGGAACATCCCGTTGAAGTTGAGCCGGAGCAGCAGCTGACTGAGGTGGGGGGACGCCTGCGGGCTGGCGAGGCTCGAGAGGTGGGCGAGGAGGAAGGAGGTCTGCCGCTCAAACTCGCGCGCGATTGCGTCCACCTGCGCCGCCCACTCCGCCGGCTGCCGCAGCCCCGTGTCGGCGAGCTCGGCCAGCCGGCAGAGCGCGAGACAGAGCTGGAAGAGGGAGTGGAGCGCCGCCGAGACGGAGCCGGCCTGCAGGAAGCACTGCGAGGAGAGCGAGGCGAGCGTCGCCTCGTGCGCCGCCGCGAGCGCCTCGAAGTCCTCCTCCTCCGCCGCCGCCGCGGCCAGCGCCTGCCAGCCCACGTCGAGCACGTCGACCTGCAGGTAGTACTGCAGCGAGTCGACCCAAAAGGCCATGTGCGCTCGCAGCCGCCAGAGGGGGCGCAGCGCCGCCTGCTCCGGGGGGGAGCGCCCCCGCTCGCCGCGGCC